GCGAAAATTTATCTGCAGATCCACCTGCGTTTTACCAGCAAATTTATATTGTGAAGCATTATTTCTCGTGAAAATTGAGGGAGCAGCAAAGTTCGCAAAAAATCCTGAGACTTTACCTGCGATTTTGGATTTATAATATATCCTGCGACATTTTTCTGCAATATTTCCTGCAGTTTACCTGCTAAATTAATTATCCATGAAGGTTTTAGCTGGGAACAAAAATAGCATGAAGAATCGCAGATAACACGTTTCCTGCAGAAATTTTGTCTAAATCCGCAGAAAAACAGAGTTTTTCCAATAGTGTCTCAAAAATAAATATGTTAGTTAATTTGATTCTTTTTATTAAATTTTGAGAGAGAGAGAGAGAGAGAGAGAGAGAGAATGTTAAATTGTATATATTTAACAATCTAGTTTGTATAATGTGATATGACATGACTTTTTTTTTGTTAATTTTAAAATTATTATTATTATAAAAATAGGAAAAATAAGTAACAACCAAATTCAGAACATAATAACAAACATCTAAACTTTTTTGTTTGTTTTTAACATCAAGAATAAAATATGAGTTTTGATTTTTTTTTGGAACAATGACATCGACTACATGAGCTACCACATTTTTTAGAACCCAAAGTTTCATATTTACAATTTCTTTTAATGCAAGAAGAACAATGATGGCTTACCAACAGATGTGAAACATGAGACAAATTTGTGAAGGATGAAGGATTGTTGTTTCATGAAATAAAACTTTGAATTTAGAGGCAAAAGGGGTTATTATTGTTCTGGGTTGTTGTTGTTTGGATTTGAAGGTGAAAAGGATGAGAAAGATGAAGATGTTTATGATTTTATGTCATGTAAATGTCTTTTGAAGAAGAAGAATATGGAGTTTGAACAACATGAAGATGAAGATGTTTATGACTTTTTGTTATTGGGATTTAAATGTGAAAAGGAAGATGGAGATTTTATGACTTTATGTCATGTAAATATATTTTTGAAGAAAATGAAGTTTGAACCCTAAAAAGTACAGTAAATTCTTCTTTTCTTTGAATTGCTAACTCGTTATTTTCTTTTTCTAACTAATTTGTCACATCATCACAACTTAATATTTTTTTCTCAAAATTTAAAAGAAAATATCAAATGGGCTAACGAAACAATTTTGGAAGGATTAAAATATATTATTTGTTAGATAAGAAACCAAAATGAATTCTTAAATTATCTTAAAGTATTTTAAGACTAAATAATCCTAATAATTTTATTTTTAGAAATATATTATAAACTTTTATAAAAGGACAAAACTAATATCATGTTCATTAAATCTTGTTTTTATTGTTCCACAAAAATTATACAAGAAAGCATGTTATTAACTTCTTTAGCGTATTATTTGGGTAAAATTGATAATGGTTAAATGTTAGTCGAAGATAAAGTGATTTTATGTTTAGGCAAAAGTGAGTTAAACAATAAATTTTAATATAAAAATTACGTTTATATTCAAAAGATATAATCAAATAGAATTTATCGTGAAGACAAAGTTAATTCTTCTTTAAAGAAGTAAAACATGTCAAAATCAATTATATATATATATCTAGAATCAATTTCCTCTTCTAAAATTGAAACCAAACATATATTAATATCTAGAATCAATATCCGCTTCCAAAATTGAAACCAAACATATATTAAAGTTAATAGATCAACCTGAAAAATAAGATCAATAAATACCAAAAATAAGTTTCCTTTAATCAAATATTGTATACACCGAAATTAATGGAATTATATGTTCTTCCAACAACATTTAGAGTACTCAAAATTTTGGAGTCATTCTTAAGCATTATTGCTTAATTCATTCATATATATATATATATATATATATATATATATATATATATATATATATATATATATATATATATATATATATATATATATATATATATATATATATATATTAGTTTTTAATGTTAATCCTTTAAAAAAATGAGATTCAAATTTTAGTCATTATGTTTTAACCAAAAAAAAACATATTAGATACTAAAGTGTAACACCCGACATTTCGTCAATCTTTAGTTATTCGAAATGACTAACATTGTGAATTATGCATCTTCATACTTAAACTCTTCTTATTTAATTGTAGCAAAATCATTCATTTAGAAAGGATTTTAGAGGTGTTGTGAGAACTTGTTAGAAGTAGAAGTGTTATGGGTAAAAGGGAAAATAAGGGTTGTTTAGAGGAAAATACCGTCTTTTTCTAGGGAGATATATAAACCCTTGAGAAAAAGGAAAATGATAATTTTTAGCATTCATTATCAAAACATAGAAAGAAAAGTTTCAAGTTAGACAGAAGTGTAGTGACACGAGAGCTTTAGAAAATGAAGAAAATAAGGAAAACCAAAACCCGTGGAACTTTCACCATTGAAGGAGGTGAATTTCTCAAGTCTCAAGTAAAGGAAGTAGTATCATCCAACTCATATCTTTCATATTCATCCACCACTCTCCTTGAAATCAGACACAAGGATCGAGGTAGGTTTTCGGCTCCCTTTAAATTTTGATTCCATTTTTATGAACCCTTAACATAAGTTTGTTCTTGCATGGTGATTAGGACCTTTACAAATAAAGTTGGCTGCAAATTCTTTTTGAGAGTGTTCTAGCATATCGCAATGAAGATATGTGAATGATTTTAATGGATTAGAAATTAGTTTTACAAATAAACCCGCACAAAAAAGTTAATGTAAAAACCAATTATAGGACAACAATACCAATAGAAAGAATTTTTTTTATCATAATAGGAAAATAAACAACGAAACACCAGCAACATTACAAATTCCATAATAATCGGAACAACCAACTATTAATTTTAATATCAAAAAATTTGGATGATATTAATACTTTTGAAATTATAAAATAAAATGATTACTCGTTTTGTAAAATATCACATATTAAGAGACCAAAGAATATTAAGAAAAAATATGTTATAAAAAAATAAAATGTAAAAAACCTCAACCATTCTAGAAATTTTAGGTTAACTATCTAAAGAATTAATAAGAAGGGAAGTCACGATATATGTTTCTCAACTGTAGTGTGTTCTGACTTGCTAGGAGAATCTTGCGCCGACAGTGAGAGGGAGAAAGCCTCGTACATATGAAAGAGAGATAATGAAAAAATCATATAATGAAGAGTGGAGAGTGGTGATTTTGATTGAATTAGATGAGAGAAGAGAGAACCGACCCACCATTTTGAAAGGGTGAGAGGGAAAAACTTATTGTCGGAAATCAATTTTCTCTAACCCTTGATCCCATTCCCAAATCCCTTTCGAAGATTCAATTTATTTAAAAAATAAAATACCCAAATTGACTTCTGCAACTGAGAAAGAATGAAAACATCGTGATAAGGAAAATTTGATTAGTTTAGGGAGTGGAATTTTTCTAAGGGATAGATTGCTCGCGGTAGTGATGGAATAGATTTGTTGAATCTTTATGCCATAGTGAGTATGGCGATGAATGGTGAGTGAAGAGGGGAGGAAGTAGTGAATGAAAAGGCTGAGAATAATGTGTGTGATATACAAGTGTAAGTTGTTTTGTAACTTTTAGGGTTTTGAGAGAAACAAGCGCGGTTTGTGAAACCTAAAAGCGATAGTGTGAAATTTAGGAGGTTAAAAACACACGCAACATATAAAACTCAGTGGTTGTTGCATAAAACTGTCCCATAAACTATTGCGGTTAACGAGGGAGGACAGTTTTGAGGGTATTGTCGCGATTTGTGTGTCGCAAAACTTCAAATTTCTTATAGTGTAATATATATATATATATATATATATATATATATATATATATATATATATATATATATATATATATATATATATATATATATATATATATATATATATATATATATATATATATATATATATATATATATATATATATATATATATATATATATATATATATATATATATATATATATATATATATATATATATATATATATATATATATATATATATATATATATATATATATATATATATATATATAATTGATTAATTTTGTGTTTCAATGTTGATTGTTTTTTATGCAAATTTTAATATATAAGCATAATATCTTTTATACATAAAAATTATTTCCGCCATGCAAATCATTTTTGTTTTAAAACTCTGATAAACTTTTTAAATAATTTTCAACTAAGATTTTAATGGGAGGCCTATTTACTCCTTTTAAATATAAGTACGAATTTTATTATTAATCCTTTTAAAAAAAAATTTCGAATTTTAGTTCCTTTAAAAATTCTCTTCCAATTTTAGTCATCTTGTTCTAAAAAAAGAATTGTATTGCGTAATCAAAGTGACTTATTTTGGGATAACATATCAAGACTTTAAAATATAATTTACTTAATAATTTAACACTTTAATCTTTAGGTTAAAGTTGTAGATAAACTAATAAAGAATAAAGAATAATTAATAAGTTATTAAACTAATGGTATTTCAAAATTTTATCAATAATATGCTATTAAAAAAAGTCATTAGAAACATGAAATATGAACTTTTGTAAAACAAAAAACATGAGTAGAATTAAAAACAAAACATTTATAAGACCAATAACATATTTAACTCACGTTTTTAAAACTAATTTGTTGGATAAATTAAATTCTGATTATTTTGATAAAAGTTAAATAGTCTCAAATTTTTTCATTAGATGAATATAGACAAGCCCTAAAATTATTTAAAAAGTTGAAAAAAAGGACAACTATAAAAAGATAAAAACAAAAACTTCTCATTTTAAAAAAACCTTCCACAAGATACCAATAAAATAGAAAATGGTTTTTCTATTCCCTATATAATTTTCCATTCTTAGTTGGGTTGTAAACAATGTGCCTTTACACATGTTTAGTACTTCACATTACATCATCATCACTTCCTTTATAACCTAACCTTGTGATCACTCCTCTCATAATTTACACATTTTCTCTTCACTTTTCATTGAAACATTTCATCAAACACCTTTCTCGAAATGGTTAATTGTTCAATATTAGCAAAGCTAAAATCAGCTATCACAAGAAGGACTTCATTAACCAAACTATCCCGCAACAGTAGCTCCATTTCTTCCTCCTCCAAGCAACAGAAACGGGAACAAAAACGTCACGTTGTTTACGTCGGAAAGTCTCGACGACAATATCTCGTGAACTCCAAAATTTTTCAGCACCCTGTATTTCAAGAGCTAGTTGATAGGTCTTGTTGCAATGGTGGATGTGAGGATGGTGTTGTGGTTGTTTCTTGTGAGGTTGTTTTGTTTGAACATTTGTTGTGGATGCTTGAGAGTGCTGAAACTGAGGCACAATTAGGGTCCATGAATGAACTTGTTGAGTTCTACCATTGTGCTGCTTGTTGATGGATCATTATGCTTTGTTAGTTAGATAACAATAGCAGTAAGTAATTCAATTCAATTGTTTTATATTTTGATGGTGATGTTAAAAAGGAAGTGAATTGATTATTTCAGTGTATTGAAGTGGTTTAATATATATTATTGCAGTGAATATTGAAGTGAATTTAGAGAGTGTAGTTGTGTATCCATTTTTTTGCTTTTGAAGAAAATTGACATTCCATATAATAACCTCTAAAGATTAAATTGTATACATTATATGTTAATCTCTAGATAACTGATAGATGATGTCATGAATAGCATGTTTAAAACATTAAAATACTTTTTATAAAAAGTTAAAATTTAGTATTTTTTTAGTTATAGATTAACTAATAAATAATATATATTAAATTATTAAACTGATGATATTTTAAAATTTTATCAATAATATGCTATTAAAAAATCATTAGAAACATGCAATATCCATTTTCATAAAACAATGTTGATTAAAACTACCAACAAAAAGTTCATAGAACCAGAGTTTGATATTTTTATTGAGAGTTTACTAATTTTGATATATTTAAAGAGATTAATAACATATTTTACTCATATTTTAATATCAATTTATTAGATAATTTTAAAATTTGAATCTTTTGATAAAAAGCAAATGGCCTCAAATTGCTCATTATATGAATGTAGACAATTCCTAAAACCAATAAAAAAAGAAAGAAAAAAAAGACAAAGATGTAAAAAGTTAAAAAGAAAAACCTTTTAATTCTGAAAAATTTCTCACAAGATGCCAATAAAATAGCAAACAAATTTTCTATTCCCCGTAAAAAGTGTGTCTAACACATATTTAGTTCCTTCACTTTACATCATCATTATCATCACATCACTTCCTTAAATAATGCCTCCTTTATAAACCAACATTTCCATCTCATCTTGTGATCACACCTCCCACAATTTACACATTCTCTCTTTACTTTTCATTTCATTGAAACATTTCATCAAATACCTTCATCAAAATAGCCAAGTTTGCAAAACTAACAAAGTTAAAATTGTTAAATGGAATTCATAGTGTGTCGAAACTGTTTGTTTTGACATAGATTTGTTTTGATGAGATTTGATATAATTTAGATTTGATTTGATTTTGAATATTTTGGGCCTTTTATATTTTGGGCTTTTGTAAACCTAAAACTATAAATAGGTGCCTTGCTTTGTAATCTATAATAGAACAGATTTCACAGTTGCAGAGTTTAGCAAGTGAAAGTTCAATAGTAATCAGAAATCCCACAATTTGTGGGTAACACAATTTTCTCCAAATATTTCTTCTCTCATTCTTGTCTTTCTTGCTGTTTGTTTGTTATTCCTCTTCTCTTTTGCTGTTCTTGATAACTTTTTACTTGTTATCACCATTACTATCATATTATGGGTTTGTTCACCAATCTTGAGATCAAGATTGAAGGGAATTCTTCATAGGATGTGAGGTTAATTTCCAACATCTGGTATCTAGAGCTCTAGTTGAGAGATTCAAGGTAGGAAGATAATGATGGTGATGAACTATCTGAACGACAACTTTTCGGCGACCCTGCCAATTCTCAAGAAAGACAATTATGAGAATTGGTGCAAGCAGATTAAGGTGATTTTCTGTTATCAAGATCTTTGGGATCTTGTGAAGGACGGAGTAATATCGCTTGGGAAGAACGCAACGGAGGCGGAAAAGGCTGCGCACAAAGAATTGAAGAAGAAGGATTATAAAGCATTCTTTATAATTCATCAGTGTGTTGATCTTGATAACTTTGAAAAGGTTAGTGATGTTGATTCAGCAAAAGAAGCATGGGAGATTCTTGAAAAGTCGTTTGGAGGCGCAGAGAAGGTAAAAGAGGTGAGGTTACAAACTCACAAGAGAACCTATGAGTTGCTTCAGATGGAAGACAATGAAAGCATTACAGATTTCTTCACCAGAGTTACAAAGTTGGTGAATCAAATCAAAGTATGTAGAGAAGCGCTGACGACGAAAGCAGTTGTCTCAAAGATTTTGAAATCGTTGGCTCCAAAATTCGACCACGTGGTAGTTGCCATGGAAGAGTCGAAAGATCTGTCAGTGTTGACAAAGGAAGAGCTTTAAGGGACTCTTGAGTCTCATGAATAGAGGATGGCTGAGAGCGCTGCAGGAAAGTCGAAAGATATGGCTTTGCAGACGCGGTCAGAAAAGAAAAGGCAAAGGTAGCTGGAATGGCAACAAAGGAGGAAACCAGTCGAATCAGAAGAAACCTTGGAACCAAGGAAACCAAAGAGGTGGTGATGCAGGTAAAGGAAGAGGTGGTGGTCGAAAGACAGACAAAAGCCACATTCAATGTTTCAATTTCCAAAAGTATGGTCATTATGTTAGTGATTGTCCAGAAAGGAAGAGAAATCAAGAGACTGATGCAAAGCTGGCGAAACATGAAGAAGAAGAAGAAACGTTGCTAATGGTCTCAACAAAAGATGAAGAAAGATTCCAAGATCAGTGGTACTTGGACTCAGGATACTCATCACACATGACTGGAAGGAAATATTGGTTTGTCAACATGAAGCCCTCGTTGAAGAACACAGTGAAGTTTGCAAATGACAACACTCTAGCAGCTGAAGGTGTTGGTGATGTTTTGATTATAAGGAAAGATGGAAAAAGGTCAACAATTTCCAATGTGTTGTACATACCAGGCATGAAAAGTAATTTGCTCAGTATAGGGCAGCTTGTCGAAAAGAACTACAAAGTAGTTGTCAAAGACAAGATGATGAGAGTTCTCGACGCAGGTGGTAAATTAATCTTGAAGGCTCCAATGTATCAGAATAAGACCTTCAAGATTGAACTCAATGCAATGGAGCACAAGTGTCTAGCAACTGTAGCCAGCAGAGATGAGTGGTTATGGCGTTTTCGACTAGGTCATCTCAACTTTAATGACATCAGAGAACTGAAGAAAAGAAATATGGTTTCAGGATTACCATAAATCGACATTCCAAATGAAGTCTGTGAGGAGTGTGTTCAGTCGAAACAACACACGAATATCTTCAGCAAGGATGCAGGAAGGGAGTCGAAGGAAATACTTGAAGTCATATACTCTGATGTATGTGGTCTAATCTAGGTGGATTCAATTGGTGGCAATATATACTTTGTCACGTTTATAGATGATTACAGTCGAAAGTTGTGGACTTACCTCATCAAGAAGAAAAGTGATGTGATTGAGGTATTTTCCATATTCAAGTCCTTGGTCGAAAGACAGAGTGGTCGAAAGCTGAAAATTCTGAAGACTAGTGGTGGTGGAGAGTATGTATCGAAAGAGTTTGATACACTATGTGTAAAAGAATGGATTATGCATGAGGTGGTGCCACCCTACACTCCATAGCAAAATGGGATTGTAGAATGCAAGAATAGAACCATCATGAATATGGTAAGAAGTATGTTGAATGGAAAGCATCTACCCAAAGAATTATGGGGAGAAGCAGTTTCGACTGCAACATATATATTGAACAGATGTCCGACAAAGAAGCTTGAAGGAATCAGACCAGAAGAATGTTGGTCTGGTGTCAAGCCTAGTCTCGGTCAATTTAAAGGTGTTTGGATCTATATCACATAAACGTGTACCAGATCAGTTGAGAAGGAAGCTTGATGATAAGTCGAATTAGATGATCTTGATAGGATATCATTCGATAGGAGGTTACAAGTTGTTTGACCCAATGAATAAGCAGGTAGTGATCAACAGGGACGTGATCATATATGAGCTTAAAGAATGGGATTGGATTGAGAATGCCAAGAAGGATTCAGTGAGAATCTCTTGTGAAGAACCAGCCACTGAAGTCGAAATAGAAGTTTGACAGGAACCAATTGTAGATGAAGCAGGTTCAAGCAGACCTCGGCGAACAAGACACATGCTTGCAAGGTTGCAAGAATGTGTAATTACATCGGATGATGTAGTCGATGAAGAGGGTGACCTGGTACATTATGCTTTCTATGCAGATGTCGAACCAGTCAATGCAGCTGAGGCATTGAAAGACTCGAAGTGGGTGAAAGCAATGACTGAAGAGTTGGAGTCCATTGAAGTCAATGATACCTGGTCACTTGTCGAATTGCCGCAATTCTAGAAGGAAATTGATGTGAAGTGGGTTTACAAGGTGATGGTAAATCCTAAAGAAGAAGTAACTCGACATAAGACGAGACTTGTGGCGAAAGGATTTCTTCAGAAGGAGGGAAACGACTACGATGAAGCATTCACACCTGTTGCTAGAATCGAAAAAATCAGGTTGGTTGTTGGTCTAGCAAATATAAACAACTGGAACATATGTCAAATGGACGTGAAGTATGCATTCCAGAATGGCCCCTTAGATAAAGACGTTTATGTTGCACAACCAGCTGGGTTTGTGAAACAAGGCGAAGAACGAAAGGTGTACAGGCTTCATAAAGCCCTGTATAAACTTAAGCAAGCACATCGAAATGAGGTTCCATTAACTTCGAGAGCGGGTAGCAGAAGGAAAGATGAAGTTGGAACACTGTAGAACTGAGAATTAGATTACAGATATCATGACGAAGGGAGTGCAGGTCGAAGCCTTTAGAAGACTAAGAGCCATGATGAATGTAGACAGTTTAGACACAATAAATTAGGTGGTATGTTAAATGTAATTCATAGTGTATCGAAACAGTTTATTTTGACACGGATTTGTTTTGATAAGATTTGATATGATTTAGATTAGATTTGATTTTGAATATTTTGGGCATTTTATGTTTTGGGCTTTTGTAAACCTAAAACTATAAATAGGTGTCTTGCTTTGTAATCTATAATAGAACAGATTTCACAGCTGCAGAGTTTAGCAAGTGAAAGTTCAATGGTAATCAGAAATCCCACAGTTTGTGGGTAACACAATTTTCTCCAAATATTACTTCTCTCATTCTTCTCTTTCTTGCTGTTTGTTTGTTATTCTTCTTCTCTTTTACCGTTTTTGATAACTCTTTACATGTTATCACCATTACTATCATATTGTGGGTTTATTCATCA